ATGACCAGACTCAGGCCATGCATTCCTGGCAGGAAGATGCCAAAAAACGATAAAGTCACCATTTTCCTCCTCGTAATTGATAGGTACGTTGTAGAGAGACACGATGAGACTCTACCAGTATCCTGTTCCTCAAGCCTCCATTCTTAGCATCCACCAAACTTAGCATCCATTGACAATTCCTGCCTTAACCATCACTATGTTTGCCAAATGGTGATTGTTCTAGTTCCTACATTCCTCCTACATTCATTGGTCAGCATTCCCGACCAACAAAAGAAGAGCTTCCTCTCTCTCACCTTCACTTATTTATTTTTATCAATACAGACTCATTGAATCCTATTTCATGTAATGACTTACAATCTGTTACTTTCATTTATTTTGACACTTACAATCTGTTACTTTCATTTATTTTGTCACTCTAGTTTTGGTCAGTGACAGCCTTTCATACTTGCCTTTTTTAAAAAGTCAATTGAGTGAATATGATTTCATGTACCAAGAGGTATATTCAGGGCCAAAAACCTCCGGTTTCTCAATTCGCTTTGGGAGTTATAAGACAACACTGAGAAATCATTCATGAATGTAATCCTTTTTCCCCCCTTTCCAATATCTACTAACCAACACTTAAATACAAACAGATATCCTCTTAGAATCAGCTGTCAGGTAATATTTAAAGTGACATGTCTATATTACCCTTCATAAAAAGATGAAAGACCTGAAAAAGAATCTTCGGTACCAAGGTCCTATGGATTGATTTTGTACTTGTCTAGCCAGCCCCCTCAAATGAGTAAGTTAGGACCTTCCTCAAACTTCTCCCTTGGTTCAAGACCCTCCTTAGGTGATTTCAATCAGGCTGGAAATAACACCAGCCTCCAAACCATGAATTTGTGTGTGTGTCACACACCAGACCCAGTGTAGATGCACAATACATAGCAACTCTTACCTTTTGTCCCCTTCACCTGCCCCAGAACTAAACATTCATTTTTCCTCCAGTATCACACACCTCCATTACTGGTCAACTCAAAGTCACCTCCTCAGTTGATAAAACTCTGCTAGTGCTAGAACCCAGCCTCTTTTTTTCAACATTGCTGCCAAAGTTTCAGCTCCGACTCCTACCACTAACACTCTCTCCTTCCCTTACTTCACCAGATTCCTCTCCCTAAATCACAGAAACATGACACTCTCCCAGAGAGAGGGCTTCTCTCTCTGCAGAAAAAGGCTGGGTCCCCAAGCTCTGGTATCAAACTATGTCTCTCTCGCAGTCTATACTCCAACCTCACAGAACTCTGGGCCTGCAATTACGTTTTACTTATTTGTCTACCACAATACAATGCAAAGCCTTGAAATTAAGGGTGGTATTCAGCCTCATCTCCATTGCCCTGCTCTGAGCTCAGTAAATGTTTGCTGTGCTGACAAACAAAAAGGCACCTGTGGAAGACACAGTTGTCCACTTATTAGAAACACTACACACAAAGGGCCAGTTTTCCCAGAATTTTATTACTGATTCACATTTGAATAGTGACACATTTGTTTTGGATAGCAGACGAATGAGGTTACTTGGCATACATCGGCAGAATAGGTAAAAACTTATTCTATATAGACGTTATTTCCATAGCTCATAACTAATAAGAAACCCACTGAATAAAACATTTCTTTACCATTCCCAATCCCAGAAGTACCAAGATTTTTTTGTTTCTGTTTTTTGTTTTTTCTTTTTTAAAAAAGGATAATTTTGCTTTTAAACCAGTCCTTTGCATCAAAGACTTATTCGATGGTCAATTTTACGTGTCAACTTTGTTACAAGCTACAGTCTAGTTATTAAACCAAACACTAAACCAAGCATTGTCGTAAATGTTTTTGTTTGTTTAGAGACAGGGTCTTGTTCTGTTGCCCAGAGTGGATGCAGTGGTACAAGTCACAGCTCACAGCAGCCTCGATCTCCTGGGCTCAAGCAATCCTCCTGCCTCAGCCTCTTGGGTGGCTGGAACTACAGGCATGTGCCACCACACCCGGCTGATTAAAAAAAAAAAATTTTTTTTTAAGAGACAGGGTCTCACTGTGTTGCCTAGGCTGGTCTCAAACCCCTGGGCTCAAGCAATCCTCCCGCCTCAGCCTCCCGAGTGGCTGGGATTACAGGCATGAGCCACCGTGCCTGGTTCCATGTGATAGTATTTTGTAGATGTGACTGAAGTCCATAATCAGTTGACTTTAAGTGAAGGAGATTATAAGTGGGCCTGACTGAATCAGTTGAAGCCTTAAGGGCAGAGCCGAGTTCCCAGAGAAGAAATTCCACCTGTGAACAGCAGCGCCACCCTGTGCCAGAGAATTCCAGCCTGTTCGTCCAGACAGCTTGTCCTATGGATTGATTTTGTACTTGCCTAGTCAGCCCCCACAAATGAGCAAGCCAATTTGTGCAATAAATCTTTTATCTTCTATTGGTTGTGTTTCTCTGGTAGAACTCTTGACCAATCTACTTCCAGAATAAAAGGGGAAAGAGGATGTAACAGCTGAACAGTTAACAAGATCTAAATAAGGCCTTTACAGGATTGCCTCATTTTGGAAAGGGAAGTAGTCAGGCTCCTAGAACATCAGATACCCCATATTCAAACATAAGTTCAAACACATATAACATATGCCACGGCTTCTGTCCAACTGCATTCATTACACATTCGGTTGGCAAATATTTGTTATGAAAGGCACTGGGGAGAGAATGGTGTGCCAGACAGGCATGGTCCCTGCTCTCAGGGAGTTTACAGGATATTGGGACATCATCAGTCATCAAACCAGTAATTATACAAATACTTGATTAATTATAATTATAATGAGTGCTAGGAAATAAAGGATGCTGTTGGCATATTTAGTAGGGGAACTAACCAACGGCGGAGGGCTTTTGGAAATGCCACCAAGGAATGACACTGAAGATAAGATGAGTAGGGCAAGCAGGCAGTAGCCGGGCAGAGGACAGGAGAAGAGCAGTCCAGTCATAGCAGACACTTGTGCAAAGGCCTTAGGCAGCAAACCATCTACATGAATTCAAGATGACCAGTCCGAGCTGTTGTAAATTAGGAATGGGGAACATATAAGATTAAACAGCCACACAAATAAAAGACAATGATTTGTCAAATTTGTCAAATAACTGACAGCAATTTCATGTGTTTAAGCACATAGTGACATGATCGGACTTGTGCTTTAATATTTTTCTAGCAGGTGTGTATAGTTTGGAAGGAAGCAAATTGGATTGATGGAGACCAGTTACAAAGCTTTTGTTATAGTCTAGGAAGCAGATGATGAAGGCATGAAAAAGGGCACGGTAATGAGGCGTGGTTAGCAGCAGAATCAACAAGACACGGAGTTTAGTGTTGGGTGATCTCCCAAGTGGAAGAGTCAGGGCAGGGTGGGAAAGGCCGGATTTGAGAGGGACAATCATGGTCCCCAGTTCTGTTTTGGGCATGCACAAGTTAGAAATTCCTGTAAGATAACCATATGAAAATACGCCTCTGGAATTCAGAAGGGACCTGGCCCAGATAGATAAATTTGGAATTTGCTAGCAGAGAGTCAGAACTTGATGCGGTCAAGCAGGGAGGGAGTATGGAGTGAGAAGACTAAGGATAAATCCCTGGAAGCACTGACATTTTAGGTGGGTGGAAGAAGAGCTTTCAAAAGTGTCTTAAGAGGAGCAATCAAGAGGGTCCCCGTTCGGGCGGGCGTGGTGGCTCATGCCAGTAATCCCAGCACTTTGGGAGGCCGAGGCAGGTGGATCACGAGGCCAGGAGTTCGAGACCAGCCTGATCAACACAGTGAAACCCTGTCTCTACTAAAGATACAAAAAATTAGCTAGGTGTGGCGGCATGTGCCTGTAATCCCAGCTACTCGGGAGGCTGAGGCGGGAGAATCACTTGAACCCGGGAGGCGGAGGTTGCAGTGAGCCGAGATAGCGCCATTGCACTCCAGCCTGGGCGACACGGAGAGACTTGTCTCAAAAAGATAAATAAATAAAATAAAAAATTATCAAAAGGGTCCGTGTTCACACAGGGTGCACTCATTTACATAAAAATGTTTTCCATGAGCAATTTTAGTTTTAGCCTCTGCGTTTAAAAAGTTGCATACCTTCCCTGAAAAGGAAATAACCAAGCGTAAGGGGAAAACCCAACTTGAATGGACACAAGTAATTTCCAGCTAAGGTGTTTTATACAATAGGTACCACCTCACTGATTACTGTTTGCAACAGTTATTCAGTCTTTGGGACCAACTGTACTTTCTGAAGTCCCTCCTTTTAACACTAATAGCTTGGCTCTTTATGTATAATTAGAGCCAATTCAGGCAATTAATTGTAAGGCTCACCTCAGAACACACTGCTTTAATCTTTCAGAAATCACTGTGTGTCACATTCTTCTAAGAATGCCTCACTTGAAATAAAACACTGAACCAACAGGAAGTATTAATTTTTAAAAACTCTAAGAAGAGTGCTCTGACCCCCAAAAGAATCACACAAATTAGTGCAGGCTCAGTGACTAAAAGAACTCCAGCTCCAGGAAAGGACATATTTAAATTACGATTGCACTTTGTCAGATTAGGAACACTTCTTGCCTTAAATCCTCCCCATTAGCATGACACAGGGTATGTCAGGGAAACCTCTACAGTGTGCTGAGCTTCAGAGGGCAATTTGTAAGGCGGCCTTATTAGAGTTTATAAAAACAGGCCCAGCAGAGGCCTCACAGACTCAGCAGGCACAACAGCACGAGGCACAAGTGGGAGCTTAATGAATATTTGATGATGACATTTTTCCTCCCTTGCATGATATGGCAAGGCAGCCCCCAACTTCCCAATGGAACCTATGCCAAAAAGTTGGTTGTTCAAATTTATGACCTGGAAATCAAAACATATACTGTTCCTTTAAAATATGTTATAATTGGTGGAGTCCAGGCCTTGTGGGAAGCCATAACGGAGTTAGAGTTCCTAACCACCACTTACAACAATACTTTAATGAAGAAAACACAGTGCATTACCATTGAAGATACCGCTCCTCCAAGGAGAAGGGAGGGGCTCACGTGGCTCCGAGCTGGGAATCTGAGCAGAGGGTAATGGTAGGGCAGCAATAAGGGGCTGGGGCCAGTGGCTGACACCTGAGAGATCCAAAAGCAAAGCTGAAGATGTAGTGGGTCTTCAGAGTGGGGTCAGGTGGAGACTCCAGCCCTGACAGGGCTGCAGAGATAGAGGAGGGTAGGGAATCCCTATCAAAACGGCATCCGGCTGAGGTCAGGAAATAAGCAGCAGGTGCCGGGAGCAATCTTGCTCTGGCAGGAGCCCTGAAGAGACCGGCAGGCCTGGGGCTGGGACAAACTGAAAGCTGAGCCCTAGGCACAGTCGGATATTAATCAAAGACCATCCCCTTGGGCCCCAGGACACAAGGTTATCCAGTTTCTGAAACCATATTGAAAGTCAAGCACCTGCTCACCTATTTGTACACAGGGATTTTAGGATTAACTAGGTGGTTCAGAACCTCCTTGACTTTTTGGGGGGTTTTTGTTTGTTTGTTTGTTTGTTTGTTTTTGAGAAAGGATCTCACTCTGTAGCCCAGGCTGGATTGTGGCGATGCAATCATAGCTCACTGCAGCCTCAAACTCGTCAGCTCAAGCAATCCTTCTTTCTTAGCCTCCAGAGGAGCTGGGACTACAGGTGTGTACCACCACACATGGCTGTTTTTAATTTTTTTAGAGACAGGGTCTTGCTGTGTTGCCCAGGCTGGTCTTGAACCTCTGATCCTCCCGTCTTGGCCTCCCAAAGTGTTGGAATTACAGACATGAATCACTGCACCCAGTCTTGATTTTATATCTTGCTCTCTCCATGTAGTATAAATTCATGCCCTACACGAATACAGCAAGATACAAACGCAAGAGTGAGTAGCTTGAGTTTAAACAACCCTCTGTCATTGTCCCAGCCTCTAAGCCATTCCAGCAGACAGAGAGAGGTTTTTTGTTTGTTTTGAAACATTGTCTCACTCTTGTCACCCAGGCTGGAGTGCAGTGGGCAATCTCACAATCTCGGCTCACTGCAACCTCTGCCTGCTGGATTCAAGAGATTCTTCTGCCTCAGCCTCCCAAGTAGCTGGGATTACAGGCATGTACCACCACACCCAGCTTATTTTTTATATTCTTAGTAGAGGCAGGGTTTCACCATGTTGGCCAGGCTGGTCTTGAACCCCTGACCTCAAGTGATTCGCCACCTCAGTCTCCCAAAGTGCTAGGATTATAGGCGTGAACCACTGCGCCCAGGCGAGAGGGGTCATTTTTATGTCCATTGTATATGAGGCATATTGTATCTACATTTATCTTCCTAAATTGATATCCAGACCCAAAAGGCCATCAAATAATATCCTTAGGTTGAATCATCCAACAGTAAAATACTAGGGTGTCCTAATTGCAGGGGAAGGTCAGTTTGAAAGTCTCTGCTGGAATTTTTTTAACTGTCAAATTTACTTACAGGTCAGGTGTGGTGGCTCATGCCTGTAATCCCAGCACTTTGGGAGGCAGGAGGATCACTTGAGGTCGGGAGTTCAAGGCCAGCATGACCAACATGGTGAAACCCCATCTATACTAAAAAATACAAAACAAAGTTAGCTGGGTATGGTGGCAGGCACCTGTAATCCCAGCTACTCAGGAGGCTGAGGCAGGAGAATCGCTTGAACTTGGGAGGCAGAGGTTGCAGCGAACCGAGATCATGTCACTGCACTCCAGCCTGGGTGACAGAGTGAGACCCTGTCTCAAAAAAATAAATAAATAAAAATAAAAATAAATTACTTATAGTCTTTTTCTTTAAGAAAGTCTTATTTTCCAGAGTACATATGGCTATAGCACAGAAAGAGAGAAAAGTGGGGAAAAAAAGGCACCATGTCTTGGAAAGCTTTTTAAGTTATTTAGTAGTTTTTTGTTTGTTTGTTTGTTTGCTTTTTCTTAATGGTAGCCAGGCCGGTAGCCTTCAGGCAAAAGCTTGTGAGGTCTCTGTGAAATCTGCCCAGCCCAATAGGAAAACCTCAGGATACTGGTATTGTAGTGAGAGCGGGCTTCCTTACAGGACCCGGCTCTGTCCATGAAGCCCTCTGTTTAAAAGACCCACTTGAGTGCTTGAAGCTCTCAAATCAGCTCCCTTGGGAACTCACTCTTAAACAGAAGCAGACAAGCCACAATCACCAGATATCTGAGGAAAAACTCAAACATGAAAGACAGATCGAAACAAACATAAAGAAAGTCACTTGGAGGACACCGAGGTTTCCCTGTGCAGGGAGCAGAAAATGTCAATAACCTCAGAGGGGTGACAGAAGATATTGCATCCATCAAACAAGAAAGGGATGCTAAAAAAAAAAAAAAAAAAAGAAAGAAAGAAAGAAAATTTCAAGACATGCAAAACTCCAATAGAAAAGCTGGAAAACCTGCCCTCTTGTTGAAACCTAGAAAAAAAAAAAGGAAAATGAAATAAAGGGTTTGAGGAAATCTCCCAGAAGTAGGGCGCAAGAAGAATTAAAACAAGAATATGACAGCAACACATAAGAAAATAAAGAACAATGAATCTTAAGGAAGCGGGTAAATACCAAATAATCCGAATTTCAGAAAAAGAGAAACAGAGAAAGGTCGAGGGACAAGAAAGCATCAGATAAAACTAATGAAAGATATTTCAGATCTTAAAGACCCTTAATTTTCAGACTGAAATGGCACCACCAAGAGGGACAAAGGACTGCGAATATAAACAGAGAAACACTTGCTTAACAACCCAGACCAGAAAAACAAACTTAGGTTTTCTAATGGTTTTGGTCTTCTTATACATAACTTCAGAAGCTAGGG